AATTCAGCTGACCATCAGGACCCTTCCCCAGGGTGATTCACAGACCAGAGTATGAGAAGCAATGGCTTAGAGCCATCCTGTCATCCCATTGCTTTTCCACTTCTGCTTCTAATGGCCACGCTCCCTTGGTGTCTTGCTAACAGGCCTACAAAGCTACTGCAATTTGACCACAAATTCAGCAAGTTTTTGAGATGCTACCTTATATTTCAAAACAAACTACAGTGGAATTCCCTTAAAGCAGGGGCCACTCAAACATTTCCATGGTATGGACCACATTTTAACAGAGTGTCTTATGGATACCTCCCTGTCAATTCACGACATACCTGTGGCTACTTTAGCAAGTACTTACATGGAAAAGCAGTATCAGTAAGTGTTTTGATATATTTCTAGACATCTATTAATCCAGTTTTGCAGCAAGAAACAAAGGGGAAGAGAGCCAGTATCATGTGATAAGACATGAGCTCTCCACAGATCACCAGCAAGCGCTCCACACGCCAGAGTTTGGGAACCTATGCCCTGAAGCTAGTTTATTGATCAAATGAAAACAAAAAGACTGATCAAGTTGCAAGAGACATCACAGGGAGATCCATTTTCAAAGCCCAAATTGCAATGCCAATAATCCAGACATCTCCACAAGCAACGAGAAAGGAGTTTAATCAGGCTGCAATCCTAGTACATGTCTCAGATTACATTAGGGATGTCTCCTCCCCGGAGAGATTCAACCTGACCATCTGCAGGGTGAGGTTCTTGCACGTACCTTGGAAATGAGTTCATCGTGATTGGCAAGATGAGCCCTGCAGTGAATGCAGCTATAGGTTCTGTGGCATGAAGGCAGATATGCCTGGAAAGTCTTGGACCTCGTCATCTTCACCATTGGAGCCACTGAATGCTGCGTAAACTCTGGGGTAGCCCAGGAGGCGCTCCCACAAGAAGGGTCGCACGGGAAACAGCGGAAGACACAGGTAAAGGCCGTGGTTTGGTAGGTGATGGGTGTGGGGCAGGCTCCACACACTGGTGATGGCTTCAGAGGATGAGATTCTGGTAGAGGCAAAGGGTGGATTCACATGGACCTAAGTTAAGAAACAAAAGAATAAATAATATAGCTAATAGCTTCAAATTCACACCAGACAAACAGACTAGACATGCAGACACTACCTGGGAAGGTGACTTCCAACAATAGTAGAGTTTGGATAATGGTCTATTGTTAGAGCATAAGGTCCATGGAGGAGTTAGAAGAAGGCTACAGTAAGAGAGACTCAGTTCTATTCCCAGCTCCATTCCTGGCCACTGATCTGCTGTCAGATCTTGGTCAACTCGCTTCTTTCTGCATTTATTCCTATCTAAGGTACTTATCTGGCCCTTTACCATAGTATCTGAGCAGCTCACAGTCTAATGTAGTAAAGAACAAAACTGTCAGACACACAGATGAACATAATTTGTTGGGGAAGAGTCAACATGGTTTTTGTTGAGGGAAATCATGCCTCACCAATCTACTAGAATTCTTTGAGGGGGGGTCAACAAGGGGGACCCAGTGGATATAGTGTACTTAGATTTTCAGAAAGCCTTTGAAAAGGTCCCTCACTAAAGGCTCTTAAGCAAAGTAAGATGTCATGGGATAAGAGGGAAGGTCCTCTCATGAACTGTTTAAAAGATAGAAACAAAGGGAAGGAATAAATGGTCAGTTCAGAATGGAGAGAGGTAAATAGTGGTGTCTCCCAGAAGTCTGTACTGGGATCAGTCCTATACAACATACTCATAAATGATCTGGAAAAAGGGGTAAACAGTGAGGTGGCAAAATTTGCCGATGATACAAAATTACTCAAGACAGTTAAGTCCCAGGCAGACTGCGAAGAGCTACAAAAGGATCTCTCGAAACGGGGTGACTGAGCAACAAAACGGCAGATGAAATTCAATGTTGATAAATGCAAAGTAATGCACATTGAAAAACATAATCCCAACTATATGTATAAAATGATGGGGTCTAAATTAACTGTTACCACTCAAGAAAGATATCTTGGAGTCATTGTGGATAATTCTCTGAAAACATCCACTCAATGTGCAGTGGCAGTCAAAAAAGCGAACAGAATGTTGGGAATCATTAAGAAAGGGATAGATAAGAAGACAGAAAAGATCATATTGCCTCTATATAAATCCATGGTACACCCACATCTTGAATACTGCGTGCAGATATGGCCACCCCATCTCAAAAAACTGTAGTGTGTGTGTGTGTGTGTGTGTGTGTGTGTGTGTATTATATATATATATATATATAATAAGAATTAGAAAAGAATTCAGAAAAGGGCAACAAAAATGATTAGGGGAACAGCTGCCATATGAGGAGAGATTAATAAGACTGGGACTTTTCAGCTTGGAAAAGACGACTAAGGGGGGATATGTTCGAGGTCTATTAAATCATGACTGTTGTGGAGAAAGTAAATCAGGAAGTGTTATTTACTCCTTCTCATAACACGAACTAGGAGTCACCAAATGAAATTAATAGTCAGCAGGTTTAAAACAAACAAAAGGAAGTATTTTATCACACAATGCACAGTCACCATGTGGAACTCCTTGCCAGAGGATGTTGTGAAGGCCAAGACTATAACAGGGTTCAAAAAAGAACTAGATAAATTCATGGAGGATAGGTCTATCAATGGCTATTAGCCAGGATGGACAGGGATGGTGTCCCTAGCCTCTGTTTGCCAGAAGCTGGGAAATGAGTGACAGGGGATGGATCACTTGATGATTACCTGTTCTGTTCATTCCCTTTGGGGCACCTGCATCAACCACTGTTGGAAGACAGGATACTGGGCCAGATGGACTTTTGGTCTGACCCAGTATGGCCATTCTTATGTGTTTATCCTCATAACACCCCTCTGGTGCTATGGAAGGGCTATTATACATGTTTTATAGATGGGGCACTGAGACACCAAGAGAATAATTGACTTGCCTAAGATTACACAGAAGCCTGTGGGAGAGTGCGGAATCAAAGTTTCCCCAAGTCCCAGGCAAGTGCTCTACCCACTAGACCATCCTTCTTCTCTACCTACCCCAGTTTCCCCATGTGTAAATGGAGAATTAACAAAATATGCCCACCTTGTACATATTGCAAGTTTCAAAGAGGGAAGCCACTATATAAGGGCAAGATACCATTCTAGTGCCTTGCCCCATAAACATCAAGTAGTGGCTACACCTAGGTGAAAGGGGAATTGTTAGGCATGTGACCAATCACTGTGAAAACACTTTTTACTATCCAATGTATTTAATGTAATGAGCTCAGAGCTGAAGAACTTTCAGCAACTCCTACATTAATATGTTATACAGTATATAAAAATGGTTTCTTTGTATCTTTAGATGGTGGAAAGAACATACCCTATGAAGGGAGCAGCCCTCTCCATCCCCCTCCCCCCCCAAAAAAATTACGTGTGTGTTCTAGAAATCAATTGAGGACTCACTGCTCCTCCCAAGAGGATTTTTCCTTTTCATAAAACATGTGATTTTGTTGTTCTCCTCCTGAATTTGCTCTTTGTGGGTCAGACAAATACAGCAAGATTTATTTATTTCTCACAATAAGCTGATTTATAATGGAAATTCCTGAGTGAACCAAACGAAGCTGCACAAGAGATGGTCTCTACACTGGCAGTAGTAACTCGCCTGAAGCATAGCTTGGTGACCTAGCCTGGATTTATTTATTTAAAATGGCTCAGTACTGCGGTATATTAAGCCAGTTTTGCTAGTGCTCAGATGGATGTGCTGTACTACATCAATGACCAAAAACATGGCAGGGGTGGGCGGGATAGAGAGTCACTCGATCTGGACTATTCTAGGCAGCTGCATCTCTCTCTTACACTTGCAAAAAGGCTGAATTGTCTGAACAGCATGTAGAGAAACCATGAAGCTATTCAGAAAGCAGAGGTAGAGGCTTCAGTAGGAATGATCTAAAACAGAGGGGGGCACCCAGCTTGGGAGGTCTCTTACGCTCCCTGTAGCTCTGCTTACTGCTGATGATAAGTTAAAGCAGGTCAGTGCAATGGGGCAATTCCCGTAGAGGGGAAACGGAGAAGCCAGTTAAACGTTTACAACCCACAAAGCCAATCACCATAACCACTGATTGCTAGAGAGCCCTCCCCGGGCCCACATTCAGGACAATGGGTAAAATCTGCAAAAGTGCCTACATGATTTAGACATCTATTTTCAAAAGTACTTAAGCTCCCAAGTAACTGCTGAAAACAGGCCTTCAGTACCCAAGTCATTTAGGCTCTTCTGAAAAATGTATCCACCATATCTTCCCTGCCATTGCCAACATCTAAAAGCAAAGCATTTTACTTGCAACCCTTATAGTAAATAAATACAACGTGCATCTAATAACTACACAAGGAAAGTTTTAAGAAGCTCACCAACGTATGCTAAATGCAACACATGGCAGGGCCAAAAAATGATGATTTAATAGGACTGGGGAGTGCCCCGAGGTAGATCTTTATTGATGAGAAATCAGTTCGAAAACTAATCAGAAATGTCGTCTCTTTGGATAGTGTCACCTCCTCTTGTGCTCCCTGAAACATTTTTTCTCTTCCCCGCCGGGCCCCTCACACAGAGCTGCCCTGAGTGACTGTGTGCGCGTGACAGGATTCTTATCCACTCTGCAAACTGCTGATGAGGCAGATCTATCATCATCATACTACTCAGCAAAAACAGACTAATCCGATTAGTCCTTTCACATTAAAAATAAAGGGAACCTGGTGAGAATTGTTCTAACACAGAGACGCAGCTTTGAAATCCCATAAGACCTGATCCAGCTCTCACTGAAATCAATGAGAGTCTTTCCCTTGGCTTCACTGGGAGTGGGATCAGGTGATAGAGCCCTGCAAATCCACGGATATCTGCATCATATCTGCAGGGCATGTCTGCGGACCATGGATGGATGTGGATCCAAATTTTGTATCTACACAGGGATCTAGTGATGGTGGCTCTGCAAACTGCCGACTTTCTCAGTGCTGTAAGCAGAGAGTCACAGCTCTGAATTAAAGCAGGCAACAGGGCCTGTCTTTTGTCACAAATCAGAGGAATGAGAGCCACACACACAAGGACTTTCAAGACTGAGATTGTGTTGGGTTAGAGAGCACTGGTTTCACTCTACAGAGAAAAGTGCTTAAAGGGTTATATGCTCAGACCTGAATTCAGGATTAAGATTACATGATGACAGGAGCAAGACAGGTAAACATATAGAGGAATCGGTTCTTTGCTCCCTATTCCTTTGATGTAGGCAAGTGCAACAAGTTCCCAACTGTCCTGAATTAACTGAGCGCCAGCATTCATGGTCATAAGACAACAGAACCACCCCAAAATTCCAAACTCCTTATTCAGTATTTGATACTAAATCCTAACTAACAGATCTTGGAGCCCAGAATGCGTGAGCCATGCACCTTGCCATCCAAGAGCAGGAAAGCAGGAGACGAAATGTGCTCTTACTTGGGCCAAATGCAGTTGGATTCCAAGGCAAAGAACCAAACCCTGTCAGAAAGGAACAGAGTAGTGAAAAGACCAGCTGGAGGAAAGTGACAGAGGTAAAGACTGGCAAGTGCTTGACCTTATTTCCAAGGTTTATACAGCAGCCGTCTGGCTTCTCATCTGGTTTGCTTTTAAAATCATGTATGTAAAAGAGACAGTGTAACTTTATCTCTTACTTCTTTGCTGCAGGAACGGTGGGGAATATACTAAGGGGGGGGGGCTGTTTTGTCTTTCTCCCTCCCATACCCTAAAGCCAATTCAGATCTCATTTCTGACTGACCCCAACACAGCAGCACTGGCTCTGTACTGCACCATTAGTCAGAAAAAAAGCAGGCAGTGGAGTGTCTCAACCAAAAGGGATGCATAAACGAGGTCTAGACAAAACCTAGAGGAAACAGTCATGATGATCTCCTTTGTTAGTTGCCTACTCTTCCTACCCAGGGTCATTGAGCAATGGCACATAGGAACCCCAATTAGAATGGGGAGATATCATAGGCACCTTTAAGGAGAGATTGGCCCAGACACACCTGTGCCATAATTAATTAGTTGCTTCCTACCCTGATCG